GAGAGAGAGAGGGAGAGAGAGAGAGAGAAGAGAGGAAGGATACAAATAGGAAAAAAGTTAAAATTTCTCTATTCATAGATGACATGGTGCTGTACTTAAAATACACTGAAGATTCCCCTTTCAAACTCTCAGACATGATAGCAAAGTAGTAGAATACAAAATCAACATAGAAAATCAATATGTCAATAACAAGAGAAGTCATGGGGTGGGGAATTCTATTCACAGACACTTTTTAAAAAGCCAGCAACTCAGAATAAACTTAACTGTGAAGGTGAAGGATCTCTACAAAGAAAAAATTTGAACACTGAAAAAACAAAGCCAAAGCAAACACTAAAAGGTGCTTAAAACCTCCCATGTTCATGGATTGACAAAGTAATTTTGTGAAAGGGATTATATTAGTGAAAGTAATGCACAGACTCAGCGCAATCCTCACTAAAATCCCGATGGTATACTTTATAGCACAAGGGGAGGGGGTCCTAAAATTCACGTGGAAATACAAAAGACCTTAAACAACTAAGGCAGTCCTTACTAGAAAGAGTCATGTTGTAGGTATCACAAACCTGATCTCAAAATACATACAGATCCCAGAAACTAAAACAGCATTGTGCTGGCGCAAAAAGAGGGCGCAAAGGAACAGAAAAATCGCTGAAGAAAAACTACACAGCTCCAGTCAGTTAATTTTTGACAAAAGAGTCAAGAACATACATTGCCGGGGGAAATGAAAATGACAAATGATGCTGGGGGAACTGCTGGTCAGCGTGTAGAAATAGTGAAATAGAAGGTAGCATGGCCGCCTGTACACACTGAGCCTTGGTCAGAGCCCTGGCACCTCACGAAACCGGCACAGTGCTGTGCATCCTCTATCCAGCACTCAGAAGCTTGAACCGAAAGTTCAAGGTCATCCTGTGCTACGTAGAGAGTTTGCAGCCAGCCTGGGATACGCAATGTCCTGCTTCATGGAAAGAAAAGAAAGGGAGTCCTGTCTCCTATCCTGAACAAAGATGAATTTATAATGGGTCAAAGACCTAGACATAGGACCTGGTCTTGAAACTGCTTATGGAAAACATGGGAAACACTTCAAGATATAGGTATAGTCAAGGACTTTCTGAAAATAACTGTAATAGCACAGGAAACAACCCCGTCACTGACAAATGGAATAGCATGACATTAGAAGGCTTCTTACAGCAAATAAAATAACTATCAGAGTGGAGAGATAGCCTGCCAAAGGGGATAAAATATATAAGATATACATTAGATATAAGATTAATATAAATTAAAGAACTACAGAAATTAAACACAAAAAAACACACCCAAATCAATCAATGAATGTTTTAATAAATTTAAATAGTTCTCAAAAGAAGAAATAAAATGGTCAATATTTGAAATTAAGAAAATGCAAATTAAAATTGATTTGAGATTCTGACACACCCCAGTAAGAATGGCTTTTATCAGAAAATGAGCAAACAAAAAAAAACGCTGGCCAGGATGTGTGAAAAGAACCTCTATAGTGAGAACGTAAAACTTGCAAAGCCTCTCTGGAAATCAGCATAAAGTTCTAAAAAAAAAAAAAAAAACTAAAATAGAACTTCCATATGACCCAGCTATACCACTCTTAGGTGTATAACCAAAGACGTTTAAGTCAGTATACCAGAGACATTTGCATATCCTTGTTCATTGCTGCACTTGTTCATAATAACCAGTGTACTGGCTGGTTTTGTGTGTCAACTTGACACAAGCTAGAGTTATCGGAGGAAAGAGCCTCGGCTGAGGAAATGCCTCCTTGAGATCCAGCTGTAAGGCATTTTCTTATTTAGTGGTCAATTGGGGAGGGCAGCCCATGGTGGGTGGTGCCTTCTCTGGGCTGGGGGACCTGGGTTCTATAAGAAGGTGGGCTGAGCAAGCCATGGGAAGCAAGCCAATGAGCAGCACTCTTCCATGGCCTCTGCATCAGCTCCTGTCTCTAGGATCCTGTCCTGTTTGAGTCCCTGTCCTGACTTCCTTCAGTGATGAACAGCAATGCTGAAGTGTAAGCCTATAGACCCCTTCCTCCCCAATTTGCTCTTTGGTCATAATGGTCTGTTGCAGCAATAGAAACCCTAACAAGACAGCCAGGAAAAGAAACCATCCTAGATGTTCTTTACATGTATAGAGAAGCCAGAGAACAACTTGCAGGAGTTCTCCTTCCATCGTGTGGGATGTTGGGGTTGAATTCGGTTCCTCGGGCTTGACCATGGTGCCGTGGTCACTGAGCCACCTCACTGGCTTCATTAATAGCAAGAAAGTATAAGCTTTCCAACTAAGGACAGGATTAAGGCAGAGGTGATCTTCCCTCAACACTCCTTTTTAACATCATATTAGAAGTCCTAATGCAATAGAACAAGAAAAGGAGAAATGTGCTATTTAGGAATAAGAACTAAAACCTTTATTTGAAGATGATCTGATGATCTAATTTGGAAAACTAAAAAAATCCTCATCGTCATCATCATCATCAACTCTCCTGAAACTAATGGACTATAGATAATATGCAGAATTCTAGGTTAATATACAAAAAATCCAGTCACTGTGATTACGACAAAAACAGACAAGTGGAATTTCTAATTAAGATGAAAGGATCAGCCAGGCGGTGGTGGCACACACCTTTAATCCCAGCACTCGGGAGGCAGAGCCAGGTGGATCTCTGTGACTTCGAGGCCAGCCTGGGCTACCAAGTGAGTTCCAGGAGAGGCACAAAGCTACACAGAGAAACCCTGTCTCGAAAAACAACAACAAAAAAATGAAAGGATCATTTCTATTGGCAACCCAATAAATAAATAATTATAATTCTAACAAAAAAAATGTGAGAAATGTCTAGAACAAAATTTTTAAACCTGAAGAAAAATAAAACCAAGTAACTAAGAGATATTTCATGTGCATGGATAAGAACATTCATTATTTTTTAGATATCAGTTCTTCCTAACAGACTGAATCCTATTCTAAGCAAAATACCAGCAGGTTACTTTGTGTACACTGAGAAACTGAACTGTATGTGGGGCGGCCAATCTCCCGATAGCCAGCGCAACACTGGAAGAGGAGCAGACTGACTGTAAGTTTACAGTGACCAAGACAACATAGAACAGGCAAAAGTTCCCATTATTTTATACATTTTTATATATTGACTATGTAAGCAAAAACTGTATTTGGAATAAAAGACGTTAAAAGTAAATGAAAGGTTCTCCCCCCACCCACCACCACCACCACTGAAGAAAGCCTTTGGGACTAAGAAAACACAATTATAGCAAGCCCATAGAAAGACGCTATGAAGACAAGAAGCCAAAGCCCAGCTTTTCCTTCAGGGCTGGGTTTTATGTGCTCGTTTTAGTTTTCTTTCTCTTTTAAGTCTCTGAAGGGTCTTCAACCCTTAATTTAAGGTTGGTCAGTGTAAAGAGAGACAAGATGGCTAACTGGCCCACAACTGTTGTGTAAACAAGTCCTGATCCAGACTTGAACTTGTTGTTGAGCCATCAGTGGGGGTGGGGGTGGGGGTGGGGGTGGGGGTGGGGGTGAGGGTGGGGGTGGGGGCCCTCCTGGCAGGAGGAAAAAGCCCACAAGTCATTTGTTCGAGGCAGCATGGCCAGTTGCAATCTAGGCTGGCCTGGAATTCCTTCTGTAGTCCAGGCTGGCCTAAAACTCATGGCAGTCTTTCCTGCCTCAGCCCCTTGACTGCTGGAATTATAGGAGTGAGCTACCATATTCTGGCTACAACAGTAAATTTTTAAACAGAAAAAATTGCCAAATCATATCTCTGTATGCATACATACACTTATGTGTATACATTAAAGATATATAATGAATACATATATAGTATATATAAACACAAAATATCAAAGTTTTCGCTGAAACATAGTCTTTCAATGTACCTGGAAGTCTAATATGGTAATTATTTTGGTCTTTAGGATAACAGAACTATTTGGACTGATGCACCTTCCCCCTCTTTGAAATCCATGCACCCATTTCATCATAAGACTATCATCTAATTCTAGCCAATCTTGTCATGGACTTTTTGAGGGTCTCTGTGAAACCTGAGATAAGAGCAGGCACACACTTTAAGCATGAAAATGTCAAGGGAGCCCAAGCTGATGATAGACATCTACAAAGGCTTGAAGTTTGCTTTAAATAATCCTCTCCATTTTTCCAGATGCAGTTGAGATTTATTTCATAAGAAGTATTAGTACATATCAAACATTGGGCTCTAAAGATTATGAAACTCTCACCGCTATTGAAGACTTTTGTACATGGCTCATCCAAAATGGCGAAAAACAGGTAAAGGTTACCAAGTCATAAACATGATTCCTATTTTATTTGTTAGCTATAGATGGCCTTTTTGTCTCACAGTTCAGAAACTAGAGATCACACAAGTCTCAGATGAAGCTGAGTGCCACACATAGAACTGCTGTTGCTTACAGTATTGATATAATAATTTGCTTTTGCTGTGAAGTCCTTCAAATCCACAACAGTTTAAGCTCTACCTTTATAAGTTTACTAATTTGAATCAAAATTAGCCACCACCTTTGGATCGATCTAACTGAAATGAATGATAAACGGTGCTGTTGACGGTGCTGGTTACCGGAGGAAAGGTCACCGTCACAACAGAACCCAGTATTAGTTTCAGAGTTTTATTAGGAGGAAGGGGATGGGGGGGAGGCACGTGCAGAGGGCAGAGGGAAAGATAGTGGGGAGGGGGAGAGAGAGAAGAGCAGAAAGGGGAGGGGGCCTGCATCCGGCTCTTTAAGGGCTCCTGACGAAGTGGGTTTATGGAGCTACACCATGCATGTGCTGATTGTGTGACCAAGTAGTTGTCAGCGCTCACTGATGTCGTAAGACACAAGACCCTTTGCTTAACTCCTGAACTGCGCGTGTGTGGTCATGTAGCTGGAGTGAGGGCGGAATTCTAACACTAACTGCTTTAGTTTCTGTTTTTTGTTTTTTATTTTTCATGGTGGTATTTCCCTTTCAGTCTGACCTTCATCCCTTACTAGCCACAATCTCATCTTTAAAAGTTATGTAAAATATCTTAGGTGCTATCCTAGTTATCATTTCTTTCTTTCTTTTTTTTCATTATTTATTTATTTATTTATTTATTATTTATTTTTTATTTATTTATTTATTTATTTATTTATTTATTTATTTATTTATTTTATTTTTCGAGACAGGGTTTCTCTGTGTAGCTTTGCCCCTTTCCTGGAACTCACTTGGTAGCCTAGGCTGGCCTTGAACTCACAGAGATCCGCCTGGCTCTGCCTCCCCAGTGCTGGGATTAAAGACGTGTGCCACCACCGCCCGGCTTCTAGTTATCTTTTCTAGTGCTGTGATGAAACACCAAGACCATATAAAACTTTGGGAAGGAAAAGGTTTATTTCAGCTTAAAGTTCAACATCACAGTCCATCAGTGTGGGAAGTTTGTAGCATGAATCTTAAAAGTTCTTATTAATAAAATCAAACCTGAGGCCAGTTATTGGGGTGAAATCTGGAAGATCAGAGAGACAGAACAAGCCACAGCTAACCTCACCTGGCCAACTTCTCAGCTGGTCATGTTTCCTCAGACTGGAAGCTTCTGTGTCCTCATCCCAATGGCTCTCAGCTGAACTGTGCTGCTCAAAACCTAAAAGCTCAAGCAGCCAAATGCTTAACCAGGCCAAATGCTGCTAGTTTCTGGTCCTCACGCCTTATATATCTTTCTGTTTTCTGTCTCACTCCCTGGGATTAAAGGCTCAATTTCTGGGATTAAAGGCGTGTGTCACCATGCTTGGCTGTATCCTTGAACAGATGGATTTCTGCCTCTGGAATGCTAGGATTAAAGGCGTGCACTACCACTGCCTATCCTCTATGTTTAATATTGTGGCTGTTCTGCCTCTGACCCCAGATAAGTTTATTAGGGTGCACAATATTTTGGGGAACATAATACCACCTCAGAAGTTAGGGCATAAACCCACCGGGAACAAACCTGGAAGTAGGAAGTGAAGCAGAGGCCATGGAGGAATGCTGCCTACTGGCTTGCTCCTCATGGCTTGCCCAGCCTACTTCCTTATAGCACCCAAGACCATGAGGCCAGGAGTGGCACCACCCACAATTGGCTGGACCCTCCCCATCAATCCCTAATGAAACGACCCACAGCTGATGTATAGATGCATTTTCTCAATTGAGGTTCCCTCTTCTTCAGCTTGTGTCAAGCCGATGTTAAAACTAACCAGTACAGGTACTGACATTTTTATTTAATGATCCCATTAGTCATTTGCTTAGGAAGTTGTGACCTAAGCTTTATGTATTTAAACACAGTGAAGACCTTTGCATGTTATGAGATTCCATATGACTTTGAGCTGTCCAAACCAACCTTATACTTCCTCGGGCAAGTGGGGACAATTGGCTAGATCTGATATCAGCCATATGACAACTTATACATTAAAAGTGAGTGTATAAGCATATGGTTAAGAATGTGTTTCCTTTCATTAATAAAAGCTTCTTTTATTATACATATAAGTATTTTTAAAACTGTTTTTTAGTAACTAGTATTTGTAAAATGAAAGAAACATAGTGACTGTGACATGTTCTAATGGCTCAGATGGTTAATTTTGAATCTCAGTGCCATAGAATAATGACATGTCTATAATTTTACTTTCAAAGATGAGTTTTCCAGCCTTTGGTAGCTTTTTCTTGTTAAATGATGGTGTAATGGTGAACATCACGATCTTGTGCATGATAAAATTGCACACTTGGTGCTTCACAGCCCTCCTCTTAAAAACCCAGGTGCTCTCTAGGACAGCAAGCTCTTGGGAAAAGACAAAAAAAGACCTGAGTGCAAGTGATTACTAATCTATTATCGAGCAGGACTATGAAGTGATAACTTTGGCATTTAGAAAGGAAGCTCCATGAAGGCAGGAATGGCAGTCTGCTGTGTTCACTGCTCTGTGCCCAGTGTGTCAAACAGTAACTAGCACATAGTAGGTGCTCAATAAGTATTTCATGAAGCTGTTAATTTCATTGCACATCTTCTGCTTTGAAAAGGAATTCTTTAGCCGACTTCCACGTCTAGTGTGAGCTATAGACTCATTGTATATGAGCTATAGGCTCATTGTAGAGTACCAGAAGAGATGCATATGACTTGGTCACTTGTTCAACAGACTAGAAGAGAAGGAAATTTCCACAACCTAGTAAAGGCTACATATGAAAAGCCCATGATGGTATCATAGTCTGTGGGGAAAACTGGAAGCTTTTCCTCTGAATATTATAGAGTAGGAACAGGACAAGAATGCCCACTCTCAACACTTCCTTTTAATGTTGAGCTGAAAGCACCAGCCAAAGTGAGTGGGCTGGAAAAAGAAACAAACAGTATTCAAATTAGAAAGAAGGCTGAATTGTCTCTTCAGAATGATGAAACATTATATGGAAGTCCTAAAGATCAATCCCCCCACATCACCCTCTCTCTCTCTCCCTCATCCTCCCTCTCTCCCTCCCTCCCTGCCTCCCCCCCTCTCTGCCTCTCTTCTCCTCCCCTCTCTCTTTCACACACACTTAAAACTAATAAGTTCAACCAATCTACAAAAGACAAAAGAAACACAAAATGGGTTTTGTATCTGTACACTATTAATGAAAAATCTAAAATTAAAGTAAGAAAATAATCCCATTTACATGAGTATAAAAAAAGAGGACATACATAGAAATAAATTTACCCAGGTAGGTAAAATATTTTCGAATACTGAGAAAAATAAACAGAAATTTTAAACTATATCTCCGCTTTCCTGTTCTGAAAAATACAAAGGCACAGAGTTTTGAGATTCCTGAATTATTAGCATTGCTTCCTGAAAAGCAGCAGTTGATATCCTTAAATATGTATTATTCAACAACCCCTACCTCTAAGGCTCAGGGAACATTGCAGGAGAGGAGATGGAAAGATTCTAAGAGCCAGAGGAGCAGTTTTGCTGTGAGATGGTTTTCTCTAGACAGAACATGCGTGCTGCATCCATGAACTCAAAAACAATAAAGCCTGCACCAGACCACACCAGTGGACATACCAATGGGGGGATGGTTATGCACAGGGTACACTCCCAGATGAAGACCTGCAGCCAGTAGGTGACTGAGGAGGGAGGGAGAATCACGTTTTCCTCAGGGGTGAGCCCTCTAATACGTTGTCAAGCATACATGGTGGTCTCTACACCTGGATGCATATGGAAGAGGTCATGAACTTGAGAGGGAAATGTGGGTGGGTGGGTGGGTGAGGGATACATGGAAGAAGTTGAAGAGAAGAGAATGAAGGGTAGAAATGAGGTAAACACAGCATATTCATGTATGAAATTCTCAAAACTATTAAAATACGTAAACTGTTTTGTTCAATGTGGCACACAAAAGATGATGATTATATGTTCAACAGCGCTAAAGAAATGTTCTGTTTATACATTCAAAAATGGGTAATTGGGCAATGCCATACATAACTCATGAGAGTACAGCAATAACTAAGCCTCTTTGCTCTTTCTAAATAACATTGGTGTATGGAAACACCAAGGGCTCTGTAGATAGCTAAAGCCATTCAAAGCAGAAAGAATCCAGCTGGAGCCATCACATTACCTGACTTCAAACTGTACTACAGAGTCATAGTGATAGACAGCATGGCATTAGCACAGAAATAGACACATAGGTCAATGGAACATAACAGAAGACCCAGAGACAAACCCCAACACCTAATCTTGACAAAGGTGCCAAAAACATGCGCTAGGAAAATGATGACCTCTTCCACAAGTAGTGCTGGCAAAACTGGGTATCCCCTGAGGAAAAATCAATTAATTCTACATTTCTCAGTCTGAACAAAAGGGTACTCAAACTGGACCAAAGGTCATAATTTAAAACCAGAAATGCTGATGCTGCTAATGAAAAACATTAAACAACAACAAAACAAAACAAAAACTTGAGGACATAAGTAAGGGCAACACATTTCTAAACAGAACCTCGCTAGCACAAGAAACTGCTCCAAGGATCCACAGACCAAATTATGTGAGATTTAAAAGCTCCTTAATAGAAAAAGAAACAACCAGATAGTAACCACCCAGCAAGGCTTAACAGTTCCTTCAGGCAAAGGGTTGACATTAGAATATATTAAGAAAATGTGACCACTAGACACCAAAGGGAAGGAAAAAGAAAGCTCCACAATGACCTGAACAGACAGTTCTCAAAAGAAGAAACACAAATGCCGAACAAATGGTTTTTAAAGTGTCTAACATCTGTAGCCATCGCTGGAATTCCATCTCACCTGAGTGAGAACTGTAGATGTAACCAACCGTCTTACTAAAGAACGTCTTATATAAGAAACACAGAACCAATGTAAAAGAGAAAGCCAAGAGGTCAGAGCTCAGAGCTAAAATCTCACCCTTCCTCCTGTGGTGGTCCTAGCTCTCCAAAAGAGACCTATTTCCTGTGTGTATGTCTTTTCATAGTCTTTTTGTTCTGCCTTCTCATTGGTTGTAAACCCAAACACGTGACTGCCTCATCACTGTCTGTATGTACAGCCCCCCAGGTCTTAAAGGCATATGTCTCCAATGCTGGCTGTATCCCTGAACACACAGAGATCTACCTAGCTCTTCTACCAAGTGCTGGGATTAAAGGCGTGTGCCACCACTGCCACACTCTTGCTATGGCTCGAATAGCTCTGACCCCCAGGCAACTTTATTTATTAGCATACAATTAAAATCACATTTCAGTACAAATAGAATACCACCATAGAGAACAGTTAGAAAATCAAGAACACAAATTTCTAGAAATCTATGGCAGCAAATGCTGGCAATGGTGTGCTGAAAGAGGAACCATTACCTGCTATTGGTGGAAATCAGTGTAGATGCCTCTCAAAGAAGTAAAACTAAAACTGCCACATAACTCAGCTATTCCACTTCTGGGCATATGACCAGCAGGCTCTCTGTCGTACCACCGAGATACTTGCAAATCCACCTTTATTGCTGTTTGTTTCACAATAGCAAGGAAGTGTGATCAACCTGGATGTCCATTGAGTAAAGAATGGATAATGGGCATGTGGTACATAAGTGCAATGACATTTAGTCAGCCAGTAATGAAAGATGTTGGGAGACAGAGATAGGCAGATCTCTGTGAGTTCAAAGCCAGTCTGGTCTACAAAGTGAGTTTCAGGACAGCCAGGGCTACAAAGAAAAATCCTGTCTCAAAAATTAAAATAAAATAAAGAAATAAAGAAGAAAGAAAGAAGGAAGGGAGGGAGGGAGGGAGGGAGGGAGGGAGGGAGCTGTAGTTGGAGTTTTCTCCAGTCCTGCCTGGCCCATGGTCAGGACAAATCTTTCTCACCCGCTAGTCCCACAGCCGCTTAGACCCAACTGAGTAAACACACCGAGACTCATATTGCTTACAAGCTGTATGGCTGCAGCAAGCTTCTTGTTATCTAGTTCTTATATATTAAATTAACCTATATCTATCAGTCTATAAGTCTACCAGTACCTTACATCTAGCTTTTCATGGTGGCAGCTGGCAGCGTCTCCCTGACTCAGTCTTCCATTTCCCAGAATTCTCTTCTGTCCCTGTCCTGACTATACTTTCTGCCTGGCTACTGGCCAACCAGTGTTTTATTTATTAACCAATCAGAGCAACACATTTAACATACAGAACATTCCACAGCAAGAGGAAGGAAGGAAGGAAGGGAGGGAGGGAGGGAGGGAGGGAGGGAGGGAGGAAGGAAGGAAGGAAGGAAGGAAGGAAGGAAGGACGGAAGGAAAGAAAGAAAGAAAGAAAGAAAG